AAATCTAGGTATGAAAGAGTTTGACCATCCTGATCTATCAAATCATTGATATATTTTACTCCGGCTGTCTCCCATTGTTTAATAAATATGCATTTTTTATCAATCTTAAGATTATCATTATACCATATATACTGTGAGTACGCATCTTTTCGTGTTTTCTTATGCTTATTCAGGAATAGATCCCAGGATGATAAAACATCTCGCCAGAAGGGTATTTGATTCGTAAAGAAATAATTGATGTATTGTGTTCGAGAAGGTAAATCGTCTAAGACATGAAATCTTTTGAGAAGCAATTACATCCCTTACAAAATGGAGTATTGAACCCGTCCGGAATATTGCATATTACCCTGTTCCTTTTAATCTTATCGGGTTTTCGTTCCAAATAAATCGAAAGCAATTTGCTTGGAAATTTTGTATTACAGTTTCTGGTGGTGTAGGAACGGTAGAAAATAAGAGATTAAGTTTTGGTAACAATAAGGATTTCAGCACTGTGTTACGTCCAAACGGCGTTAACGTTCTACATTTCCACATTTTCATTAAATTTTCAATTTCTTTAAATGTTTCGTTGTAATTAGCATCTACCATATTTTCAAGATCAATGTCAAATTTGATACCCAGTAACTTAAACGTTTCAGTCCAGTCCATTTTACAGTTCTTCAATAGTTTCATTCGGCTACGTTTTTTGGAACCGATCCAAATCAACTTTGTTTTATCAATGTTAATTTTTAAACCAGAAAAACGTGCAAAAAAGGTTAATGTATTCACGACTGCTTGCAAGCTCCTTTCAGTACCATCTAACATTAAGGAAGTATCATCTGCGAACTGCGCTAATAATTGTTCATTAGATCGAATCTTTAATCCTCTGATAGATTTATTGCTTTTAAGTAATCTGGTTAATATTTCAGTGCATACTATGAAAATATATGGAGAGATTAGGTCTCCTTGGCGACAACCTCGACTTAGTTTGAAAAAGGGACTAGCAAAACCATTTACTAATACACAAGATTCAGAATTTTTATAGAGCAGTTTTATCCATTTTCGAATAGAAGGGCCGAAATTAAAAAAGCGAAAACGTTTTGAATAAATCGCCGTCTAAAGAATCGAAAGCCTTTTCGAAATCAATAAGCATTAACAAGCCTGGAATCTGATAGGTATCCACATATTCCATTACGTCATACACTTGTCTTGTAACCTCTCCCATATATCTACCCTTTATGAAGCCTTTTTTGTTCCTCACTGATCAATGTGGTTAAAGTCGGTTTTATTCTCTTTGCTAATAGCTGCAGAGGCAAGTTTGTTCACAATATTAAGTAATGAAATGGGTCTCCAGTTCTTTAGAAACTTTTTAGGTCTGCCTTCTTTTGAATACAAGTGATGATACCCTGAACTTGTGTATCTGATAGAGCTCCGTTTCTGTAAGCACAATTTAGCGATTTTATAAGATACACATTTAAATCCCGCCAAAAAAAATTGAAAAATTCTGCAGTGAAACGATCAGGGCCCGGGCTTTTTTCATTTTTCACACGCTTCAAAGCATTAAGAACCGTATGTTAATTCGCCTTCTAATGTTTCTGCCAATTCATCACTAACCTTGTGGCTATTCGGAAATAAATCTTCGAGATCTATTTGAGAAGTTTCCTTTTCACAGTAGAGATTTTGATAAAACGTTTTAGTTTCAATTAAAATGTCTGAAATATTAGAGATTATTTCTCCGGATTTTGTTTCAAGTTCAGCAATAGATTTATTTTAAAAATTCCTCGATTCCAACTTTAAGAAAAAAATTGTTGGTTTTTCACCTTTTCTATCCATTTAGACTTTGCCCTTATAAAACTACCTTTTGCTTTAATTTCGCTAATTTCTTCTAATTCGGAGTTTATTTCATTTATATGATGCAGTAATTCTTCTTTTTCTTCAGTATTTGTCGATTCATCTAACTCTATTGTCAAAATTGCGAGTTTTTCAGATAATTTCTTTTCGTTTTTTTCTCTGTCCTTTTTTTTACTACACGAATATAGTATGGTTTTACCCCTAACCATACATAATATCATTTCCCATAAAAGTTGATCTGAAACTCCAAAACCTTCGGGGTTTTCGTATTCCTCACAAGTTTCGTGTAATGTATTTTTTACTAGTTTTACATATTCAGGATCATTTAATAAAGAATTATTAAACTTCCAATAACTCTTACCTCGTTTGACCTCATTTGAGTGCAAACTTATCTCTACGAGAGAATGATCAGTTCTAAAACCTGGATCTATGCTGGTATATTCTACTGAAGAGAGGAGATTGTGAGAAACAAGGAAATAATCAAGACGTGATTGTTTTAAAGGGGTAGGCTGACGCCAGGTATACCGCCTTTCAGTTGAGTTATGTAGTCTCCAAGGGTCTTTCAAATCCTATAACTCTATAATATCCTTTATGTTGGCTCTGTTTTTAGGGTTATTTTCATTTTTATAATTAAATTGATCAAGAATAGGATTTAAGGCACAGTTCCAATATCCACAAAGAATAAAGAATTCCGAGTCAGATTCATTTAGATTGTTGATAATTTGTTCATAAAATTCAGGCGTATCTTCGTTTGGGCCGTATACATTTATAAGCAGATATGTCTTATTTTCAATTTCAATATCAATGGCTTTAAAATTTCCACGTTCTGCATCAGGATATTCTTTACTAACATAAAATTCAAAATTATTGTTGAAAAGAATTGCCGTTCCTCTCGCCTTTGATTTGAATGAGTTAAAATAACATTCCGAGTAACCCCATTGTTGTTTGATAAACTGCTCTTGTTGTTTTGTAAAATGAACATCTTGTAAAACAATATATGGACGCTTTTTCTTTTTGAGAAATCTAAATACTTGTTTTCTCTTAAGACTATCGCCAATGCCTCTACAATTCATGGATTTTTTTTTTGACTCTTTCGAAACCCATTATTTATTATTCATGATTCGCAATTGATATGATATGAATAAGATGGTAAAGCTTGAGATGCTGACATTTTGATGACTTCCAGAATTTGTGTATTTTTCACAGGTTAACAAAACGTAGTGGAATTATAGTTAATAAGAAACCAACAAATAATAAAACATGCTTCATCGGAAGCTGTCGTTTGGGTGGTCAACCCGTACCCGCAACAAAGTTCAAAGTATAATTAGCGATTACTATGGTGTTATAAAAAATAGAAAAGGAGCCGTGCACTTTACATTACAGTACTTTAGCGCATAAATCAGGTTAATTTACACTGAAAGTGACTCTTTGGAAAACAAATCTAACAAGTTACATGTAGTAGCTTCGGCCCCCGTGTGCAAGCAGTGATAACCATGGTTTGCACGGGCTGCTTGTGAACTCTTATATAACATTGCTTCAACGGGTATACATGGCAGATTAAGAGATAACCAATGCACAAACCACTACTACTAAAAAACAAGGAGGTGTAGCTGGTGTAAATGAAACGAAGGCACAATGTTCCCTTGTTTGTGCTATCTTGTTACACGGGGACCAGATTAGTGTCAAATATCAATCATAACACGTCTGATAAAATGTGACTTGTCACTGTTAAAATGTCTAGTCAGTGATTGGATTACTAAAGGCTACTAAAGGCTGACCAATTATTACTTACTTGCGTCTGATCCTTAAGGAAAAACCTAGATCCAGATTCCTTCGTAATATTTGTATTACATCTTGGTAGTCGACAGATTAAGCTTTTGAAATTGTATTCAAAACTCACACAACCACCTTGCTCAACACATCGAGCTTGACACACTTTTATGCCAATATTCGTAGTAGTGATATAGCGACCTGCTTCCCGATCACGTTGTGTCGAACTGCAAAATGCAAACATCAAGTACAGTGCTAAGATCAGAAACAGGTTCCCGAAGTCACGTAAACGTAGCAGTGCCATCTTGCTGTATTCACAGAGGAGCAGCGGACGGCCTTTATATATAACAAATGCCGAATGAATCAATATGTATTGATTTTCGCCGTATCAGCACTTTTCCAGCTATTCGCTGGACGTCTTTCCTGATAAACAGTCAGCTTGAGTTAGTTAAATGGCGTTCTTTTACATACACATTAAACTTAATCATACACTCAGGTATGAAAGTTTCAAATGGCTTTTTTGTTGTTTTTCCCAAATTACTCTAAACATATCCGATGAAGTATATCTGACAACATCATTGCATAGCAAACAGGGTATTATACCACACAGGATATAAAATTAACATACCAATTAGTGACATTAAGGGTGGCAAAAGAGTTGTATCTAAGTGCTCATTACGAGACATATTGAGATATACTATCTATCAAAAGTTTAGACTCACTAAAGCACTCACTATATGTTATGGAGGTATATATAGTTACATCGAAGATGAAGTTCTCTACTAACTTAGGGTAACCAACTGCAAATCTTATGCAGATGAATTGCACAAGGTTCATGCATCAAAATGCTGTAAAGAATGTTCAAATATCGGGCATGTGAACAGCTGCATTTTGATGTAAAGTTTTGTTGAGAGTTCGCCAATTTTCAAGTTTCATCATTTATTGAAGTCATGACAATCATCTTTTCAACGTTACGAATTTGTTTTACAATACATCAGTTCATGTGTAAACAATACCTTTAAACAGTATGGAATATTTTGCAAAATCTAGTTTAGAACAGTTGACTGAAATACGTGGCTACATTTACACTAGTGAGTCTAAACTTTTGATGGGTAGTATAGTTATGCCGAAGTATACTATCGAAATAAAGAAACGCATATGCGTTTTGTATTTTTTTAAATCTATTAATTACCTGCTGTGTTCATACAATCGTCAAAATATGTAACAAAAGTGTTGATAACGTGATTTTACACAATTGCACAAGTAAAATAGCAATGTTTGATTTTGATGAGATTTTTTACAAGGATGAAAAAAGCATGCACTGTCTGGCAAAAAACATCCAGATTACTTTCGGAAATCGTCATTCGTTTTGAAGGAGTTTCAAGGTCAAATCACTACACCACATCTTGACGCTGCGGCACGGAACATTGTCATTGAAAGAATCCACGCTGGAGATTACCAATCTTCTGTTGCCAGGCGTCTGAATGTTAGTCTGAGCACGATATCACGGCTTGCACCTCGTTACAACCAAACTGACCATCCACGTACAGGCAGACCTCGAGTCACCACTGCAGCCCAAGATCGGTACATCCGGGTAGTACATTTGCGTGATTGTACTGCCACGGGTGAGAGCACAGCAGCCAGGGTGCAGACTTCGGAGGATATCCGGTCAGACTGTACGGAACAGGTTGAGAGAGATTGGAGAGCCAGGAGATCCGACGTCGGGACCGTGCTACGTCGTCACCATTGCGCTCAACGTCTCCGTTATCTAAATTTATCCACTTGGTTGTATAGACATTTCCTTCTTCTAAACTGATGTAAAAGTTCACGTACTAAAAGTCTATTTGTGGACGAGTTATACATGTGTCTGTGTTCTGCGTTTCTTTCCTTTTTGAATAGTATATACACTCGGTAGAAGTTATGCAACAAGAATAACATCTGACACGGTAATTGTATTGATACAAGTGATGCATCATGTTTGCATCGACCTTTTGATGGTTGGTGCATTTGGCGATTCACCTCACTTTGTTGTTTCTTTTACTGACAGACCAGTAAAGATCCTGGTTAAATTGATCTTCAGTAACCCTTGCTTGCTCAAAGAGGCGACTAACGGGATCGGGTGGTCAGGCTCGCTGACTTGGTTGACACATGTCATCGTATCGCAATTGCGTAGGTCGATGCTAAAAGTGTTGATCAATGGCTTGTCTGGCCCGGACTCGATTATTTACGGCACCCGTGAAGAGCCACCTCCTCGTGGTGGGTGCTGGGTAACGCTAAGCGCTCTTCAACCCCCCGTTGTGGACCCGGGGGTATATTTGGTCCACCAACCCGTTTGCCGTGGGATGCGCCCTCTGCCGGTGGAGGAAGGAGTCTGGTGGTTGAGGGCACTGGTTCCAGGTACAGTGTTCCTTTGCTCAACACACCACTTCGCCCCTGACTTCACCTAGACGGGTGGGAGAACTGGCCCGGTTCTATCAATGGGCTGGTCACGCCAAGCCCTGTGCTACATCTATGCACTATTGCACAAAATGTTTGAGAATTATTCCATGGTATTTTTAAGTCTTGGCGAATTTTTTAACACAAATTTTAAATATACAGTTTCATGTATTTTTTTGCCTAGAGTCGTATGCCCAGAAGGCGGTGGCTCATGGGCCAATCTGGTGGAATCATTAATCTTTTAATTTTTCTGCTGGAGTATATCATCCGGGTATCCTTGGTCCTGCAAGTCGGAGATCCGCTTGTTTTTAGCATTGTCCTTGTGATACTCCGTGGTTGGTGGGGAGCTCGGATGACGAACTTTGAAAAATTAACCATGGCTTACGAAACCACCCTAAAAAAAGAAACGTCCACTAGACACTGATCCAGTTGATAATGATAAAAGAATGTCCATGTCCATTGAATACTGGCCACGATTTCTTGTTATTGAAACTGTTGACAAGACTCCATTGAAGTTGAACCCTTTTGCCATATCTAAGGGTATACAGGGCATTGCTGGTGATGTCAAGAATATTAAACGTTTACGGTTCGGTGCTCTGTTGGTTGAGTGTGGGAAAAGGCAACAAGCCACCAACCTTATGAGTACAGAATCACCGTCACGGCTCATAAAACATTAAACACGAGCAAGGGAATCATCAGAGACCGTGATCGATTGTTTGCTGATATGTCGGAAGTTGACATCGTCTCTGAGATGAAAGATCAAGGCGCACTCTATGTCAAACGTTTCACAACCCGGAAAAACGATGCTGTTATAAAAACAAATACCTACCTGTTTTCATTTTCGTCACCAAATGCTCCAAAATATCGCAGGATATTGTAACATCAATGTTGACACGTACATTCCGAACCCTCTAAGGTGCTTCAAATGTCAAAAGTTCGGTCATGGCGTAAATACTTGCACATTGTCTGTTGTATGTGCTCACTGTGGTGAAAAGATACATATAACAGAAGATTGTGACAGTAATGTCAAAAATGTACCAACTGTGAAGGGATCATCCATCTTACTCTAAAACTGTCCTGTTTGGAAACATCAAATGGAGATAAATAGAATCAAATTTACCCAAAACATTAGTTTTGCCGATGCCAAAAACTAGTTCAAAGCTCAGAGCATAAGGAGAGCTATGCTTCTATCACCATCTATCTGCATGCTGTCAGACAAACTTGACCTGGGTTAAATCCGAATCACCTCTGATATTCTCACCTGCAATATCTACCCAAACAACAGAATCAGTTCCTACGTCTCAAAGCCAATGTGAAACAACCTCTTATCTTGACGCATCATCTAAGTCGACATCAAAGTCTACACAGCCCCTTAAAGACAAAAGTAAGAAGCCAGATTCTTTGAAAAAACTCAGTGGCAGAGCCCCAAAAGGGTCAGAAAATCAAATCAACTTATACAACAAATATGGTTCCCTTGAGGACATGGATGAATCCGAAACTGTCCGTTCTAGGGCGCACAGCTTGTCGCCCATCAAAAAAGTACGGGGAAGTTTCCCAATAAATCCTCCCAAAAGATAGTTTATCACAATCATATTATACAGTGGAATTGTAGAGGACTGAGGACTAAATTCAGTGAATTACAACTTTTAGTCCAGGTTTTAACACCATCAGCGTTCTGTCTGCAGGAGACCTATTTAAAACAGACAGATTCTTTTATCCTGCGTTCTTTCAATGAATACCATTGTTTTTCACCTCTGGGTGACAGGGCCACTGGAGGATCTTCCATCCTAGTCAAACAGAACGTTATCCATAGCCCTGTTACACTACTAATCTTCAGGCTGTTGCAGTGCGACTAACTTTGGACGTTGCGTTTATGCTCTCTCTATATATCTCCGTCTTCAACGTTTCCCAAAACCGATCTTCAAGCTCTATATGACCAACTCCCTAAGTCCCGTATTATTATGGGAGATTTAAATGGGCACAACCCACTCTGGGGTAGTGCAAATACAAACGCTAAAGGTAAATTACTAGAGGAGTTTTGTTCAGATAATGATTTATGTATTTATAATGATGGTTCCAACACATATTTACACCCTGGCACAGGAACATATTCTGCTCTCGACTTGTCAGTCACAAATTCAGAACTACTAAATGAGAGAGAGAGAGAGAGAGAGAGGTTTATTCAAGTAAAGGGGCCACAGGCCCATTATACAAATGTACAAAGTGCAAGGTCTAACAAGCGCCATAAAATATTCAATATTAGCACAAGTGCTAATCAGCAGATACAAGAGGCTGTAGGGGTACTATACACTCAAGAATGCATTACGCTTCTTTAAAGCTAGATACACAAATTTTCCAAGATTATTAATAAGAAGTATATTCTTCGTCGTGAACAACTGAGACAGTTTCTGTTGTGACGGGAAATTGTAATAATAATTTGGAATTGTCATTTCTTTAAGATTATTATAAAATGGACATTCTAGGCAAAAATGAAATTCGCTTTCTACAGTAGGAATAATACACAATGGACACAAGCGTTCATTTCGCTTTAGACCAAGGCGTCTACCATATTCAATCATTAACATATGACTGGAGCTTCTAATTCTACTTAAGGCAATACGAAATACTTTGCATTGAACGTGATTAATGTAGAACTCTAAGCAAACTTTGTTTTTGATATTACTCAGAAAATCAAGTTTAGAAAAACACAGCATATCACCTTTCCATGATTGGTTATGAACGTCAATACATCTTTGTTTGAACAGAGATATGAAAGTAGTGACATTCCCAACATTCTGGTAAAACCAGGCATATCCAAAACCATATTGATTTAGAAGTCTTTTTACACTTAGTGCCCAACATGGGCGTCCTTTCTCTGCAGTTCGATATTGATATTCATACACTTTCTTTAAAATAACATTATCAGCTTGAGATACCAGTCTTATCCAATATTTAATAATTTTACAGTAAATATTAACTTTAAGGGAGTGTCTACCAAGCTCGGCATGAGCGAATATATTCGGGGTGCTTCTTGGAAGATTGAGAACTTGTTTGCAAAATTGGTCATGGATATTAATAACATTAGGTGCTGTGTGAAATCCCCATACTTCGCTGCCATACAGTAAGATTGGGAGAATTTTAACATCAAATATTTTGAACAAAACATGAATGGGGAGATTTGAGAAATTAGGTATTGATGATCTGAGTATACCAAGAACTTTCCATGCTTGTTCTATGAGGGTTTTTGAGTTATATACCACGAGCCTGAGCTGGATAAATGAACCCCTAAGTACTTATAGGATGAGACAGTATCAATAACATTATTTTTTAGATAAAATCGTTCGCATTTCTTAAGTCTGCCACCCTTTCTAAACACAATAATTTTACTCTTTGCTACATTGATTTTTAGTTTCCAACGGTCACAATAACCAACTAATTTGTCTAATCTCTTTTTGGAGACCACCAACAGAAAAGTCAAAGATTACAATGTCGTCAGCAAATAGTAATATAAACAATTCAATTAGTTCCAGATTCACACCCCTCTGGTTATCTAATGCTAGGCTCTCTACAATATCATTTACAAAAAATGAGAACAAGAAAGGGGATAGTTGGCAACCCTGGCGGACGCCATTTTGGCACTCAAAAAATGCTGTATATCCTTCATTTGTAGAGACACATGATCTTACAGATGTGTACATGTTTTTCAATAATCTGAATAATTTCCCCTTTAACATTTCCCAACCACAGTTTATAGAAGAGACTGTTCCTGTCAACCGAATCAAACGCAGCTTTCAAGTCAATAAAAGCACAGTATAATCTTCCTTTATACAGAGAGAGGTATCTTTGAACGATCGAATTCAATATAAATATATTATCATGGGTTTGGAATCCATGTCTAAAGCCTGCCTGTTCTGGGGCAAGGAAACTTTCCCGCTCAGCCCAGAGAGTTAGTCTAGTACTTATAATTTTTGAAAATATTTTGCCAGATACTTCAAGTAAGGTTATAGGCCGGTAGTTGGCTGGATCATTGACATTACCCTTCTTGAAAATAGGAATAATTACTCCTACTGTCCACTCAGTCGGATAGATACCCGTA